ATTCTCACGGCTGCTAGATTGGTGTATGCTCAAAACTGGAGGAATAAAGGAATTCCAACAGAAGAAGAGATTATATATAAAATTTTATCGTGTGCTGAAATGGATAGGCTCACAATGGAAATGAAGGATAAGACAGAATCAGACTATTTCGAGATCTGGGACAAATTTTATCACTGGTGTGAATCAAGGAGAACTGCTCAGGTTTTAAATTAGCGTTAAGATAGAATTATATATAACTGTATATATAACTGTATTGTATAGAAGAATATGTTTATATAGAGATCAAGAACTATGTATTAATTACATGTATCAAAAGGAACTGTACTATAAATAAAAAAGTTTTTATAAAAAAAAACAGACTCTGTCATAACTCTGACAGGGATCAGAAAAATATAGGATGAAATTCCTCACCTGAACCAAGTCGGTTTTTGTACAATATCCCACTGATATTTCGACATCGCACAGGCAGTTCATTATCATACACTGAAGGGTCCCAGTTATATTTTGTCCCACCTTTTTCTTGACCAGATGTTAATTGAGTAGGGGGGGACTGAGATCCTTCAAATTAAAGGAAAGGTAACAAAGTCTTAACATACAGTTTCTGTTCCTGCATTTCCTTTAGAAAGCCAAAACCGTGATCCTCAAAATAATAGGTAGTCAATTTAAAAAAAGAGAACAATTTATTCTTTCAATAGTTAAAAGAAGAAAAATGAATATTAAATCCCCCTCTAAACAATGGATCAGTTCTCTAATTTTTGAAATATAGAATCCATGTAGAAAGGATTTTCATTGTCATTACATACCATACTTTTATTATTCCTCTCAGGAAACAATAGCACTGATACAGGAAATAACTGTATCTTGTAAGTGCCATGTCATCTCCGTACCTCAGCTATTACTGAAGCAAGACAGGATGCTTACTTCTTTATTTATTTACTTACAGGGCTTATGGACTACTCCAATTAACCAACCTGAGCAGCATACAATTTCCCAGTGTGTAACTGGGATTAAAAATAAATATAAAACAAATTAAAAACAACACTATATATTACAATTACATAAAAGTGGGAGATGTATTCAAAATAAACAACCAATAATCCATCATCTGGAGGGATTGTCATAATGATCCAGCCTCCGTGGCTTGACAAAACAGCCATGTTATCATCAAATTCCTAAAGACCAGGAGGGAGGGGGCGGATTGCATGTCAGAGAGATACTATTCCAGAAGAGGGGGACAGTGACTGAAATGCAGTGCTTGTATAGTATACAAACTGGCCTGAGTTTGCTTATCCCTCTACACTGCAATGGCTAATGAATAAGTAAGATGTGTTTGTGTCTTAATGGCTCCATAAAAGGCAGAAAATACTGATCAGTCCAGATAGTTGATTCTCATGAGGAGATCATAGGAGTGTGGTCTTCTGGGGGTTTGCGTGCCAGGAGATATATTCTTCTTCTTCTTCTTCTTGTGCCATATCCGTTATCGGACGTTGGCGATCATGTTGTTTTTATCCATGTTTTTCATTTATATTTTTATATTTCTTAACTGCCCACCTCCCTCAGAGATTGCTTGCAACTGTGACATAACCTTTTAAAGGACACTAAGTTTGCAAGCTTTACTTTCTAATCACTTTTAGAAATTGCCTATTAATCATCTTAAAGCTATAAGAGATCTTCAAAACAACAAAACTGAAAAGTTGGCAGGTATGTTTAACATACATTCTGAACAAAAGAAAAATTAATTACAAGCTTAAGAGCTTAAAGAATTTGAAATAAACAGCAAAAAGCTAAACAAGATTTTGATTTGAGAAAGTTATAAACAGTCTAAGCGTTGAGTTAAATTTGAAGTATTAACTTTTACTATAGAATTTTAGAATTATAAAAAAATGACTAGCTTTTCATAGATACTAGATGTAGTTTGGTTATCTTGGCTGCTGTAGGTCATTGGATTACAGGACCCTCCTTTCCCACTCAAGCAACTTTGAGAAGGGATGGAATGAAAAACAAGACATTCTGCTAACCAAATATTAGCTTGCTTATGAAGTGTTGAAAAAGAAAACCTGTTATAAATTTATACTGTATTACTATATGACATTTTAAAAAGGTCCCCCAGCTCACATTTTACCTGTAGTAAGAGGTGCAGATGGTCCCTTCAGACCTGCACTCTCCACAATGGTGCCATCTGTGTGAACCACAATCAGAGTAGCCTTTTCAGTATTTAAGCTGTCCCCAATCTGAAGAGCTGTTCTTCCAGACTGTAAAAGAAATTTTAAAAACTTTAGCTAGTATAACTTATTGAAATGATTAGATTTTTATGTTTCTTAATATGTAAGGATTCCTAATAAATTCCCATGGAAATATCGTTGCATATACTGAAGAGTGTTAAGAGGAACTGTCAAATCCCTGTCTTCCACATCCAAATGTATGGAGACTACGACTCTGTTTTCTCCTTCCTTGATTAAAAAAAAAAAAAGAATATTGGGCATATGATTAATAGCTATAGCACCCTGTTTGATGTATTACTTCAATTTTATAAGGAACCATTAAGGAGCACTGTCTGAGTATAGTTATCAGGACAACTGCAAATACACTTTAGACATATTAATTAATGTAAACTTACAGTATCACATAAATACTTTTCTCAAGTTTATTTATTTTATTTATTTTTATTTATTAATTGAATTTTTACCCCGCCCTTCTCCTTGCGGACTCAGGGCGGCTGACAGCCTGATAAAAACAACTACAGAAATTCCCCAAAAACTATCATTAAAACAAAGTTAAAATAAAATATTAAATTTGGCCTTATTAATTATTAAAATTGCTTTTAAAACCCCTCTAAAAATTTCCCCTTAGGCCAGTCCTGCTTGTTGGAAGANTCTCTGGGGGTAGTTCGTTCCAGAGGGTGGGAGCTCCCACCGAGAAGGCCCTCCCCCTGGGAGTCGCCAGCCGGCACTGTCTGGCTGACGGCACCCTGAGGAGACCCACTCTGTGGGAGCGTACCGGCCGATGGGAGGTAATCTGCGGCAGAAGGCGGTCTCGGAGATATCCAGGTCCGATGCCATGGAGCGCTTTGAAAGTGATAACCAACACCTTGAAGCGCACCCGGAAGGCCACCGGCAACCAGTGCAGCTCGCGCAGCAACGGTGTTACATGGGAGCGACGAGTCCCTCCCAACACCGCCCGCGCGGCCGCATTCTGGACCAGTTGGAGCCTCCGGGTGCTCCTCAAGGGAAGCCCCATGTAGAGAGCGTTACAGTAGATATACTCCCGTTATCTATTAAATTCATTTTCTGATAAAAAATGAAATAAGGTTACTCTGGCAAGATTTGTTCATAAAGCCAAGCTGACTTCGAATATTCATTGTTTTCAAAATGCTTATAGATTGGTTGCATTATGGTTCACTTTTGAATCTTCCCAGGTACTACCGGTAAATGCCAGACTGACTAGTGTGTAGTTCTGTCTTCCTTTTATTCCTCTTTTGAAAATAAAAATAATTGCCTTTCTCCAGTCAACTGGCACTTCACCAGTTTTATAGCATTTCTCAGAGACAACAGACATGAATTTAATCAAAACTGATATATATGGTTTTGATGCCTTGAACTCTTTTAAAGTCTGAAGATATTCATTACGTTATGTAGCAAAGGCTGAGTCACACTGAAATAGAACAGCCATTGCAAGCTCTATTTATTATCATTATTTTAGTCACGCCTATGGCATTTTATACTGAATCGGTATAAAACCTCCTTGCCTCGGGAGATTTAGTAATCTAGACCCTGACAGTACAAAATACAACCTCTACGTTAACTAACGTTTTGTTCTGTGTTAGCCAGAGGAAAGGGACCCAATGAAGCTAATGGTATCAGCAGAACCAGATGTACCACAAGTATTATAACATAACATTAAGGAGGTTTTATACCAGGGGGGCCTTCAAACTTGGCCCTTTTATGACTTGTGGACATCAAGTGCCAGAATTCCTCAGCCAGCGTGCCTGGCTGAGGAATTCTGGGAGTTGAAGATCACAAGTCATAAAAGGGCCAAGTTTGAAGACCCCTGTTTTATACATTTATTAGCAATTAGGTGCGGCTCTCTTCTAAGGGACACGGCTGAAATTTGGCTCCATTTAACTGGAGAGCCAGTATTTATTTATTTATTTATTTATTTATTTATTTATTTATTTATTTATTTATTTATTTATTTATTTATTCAATCAATCAATCAATCAATCAATCAATCATTCAAATTTCTACACTGCCCATCTCACCTGCATGACTCTGGATGGTTTACAAATGAAACTATACAACGATATAAAACAACATAGTTAAAAAAACAGAATTAGAACAAAATTAAAAACAATAAACAAGTGAATACTGTAGCAGAAAAATTAAAAGGGCAGAGGGAGCAATGACCCTTCAAGCCACCAGCCATCCCCAAGTTGCATGCCACTGTTAGAATCCCATGCCAATTGGTGGAGCTAGGTTTTGACGTTCTTCTGGAAGGCCGAGAGAGCAGGGCCCCACCTCACCTCCAGGGGAAGGGCAACTACAGAGAAGGTTCTCTTCCTAGACCCCATCAGCGGAAATTGATTGACGGGGTAGGCAACATACTGTCCCTGCCTAAATGGGTGGGTCGGGTCAATAAAATAGGGATAAGACTGTTCCTTCGGTAACATGGTCCCATGCCATGAAGAGCTTTAAAAGTGATAACCAATATCTTGAATTGGACCCAGAAGCAAACTAGCATCCAATGCCACTCACACAGCAGAGATGTTACATGCACAACTCTAGGAGTGCCTAAAACTGCTCATGCCACTGCACTGTATACGAGCGTAGCTTCTGGATAATTTTCAAGGGTAACCCTATGTAGAGTGAAAGAATTTCTTTGTGAGCGAACAACCATAAAGAAGAAAATGTCACAAGATGTTAATCCACGTTTAACTGTGATGAACTAAATTAAATATTTACCTGGATTCATACAATACACTGAATTGCAAGCTAGCCAATCTAAGTAACTGATAGCCTACTGTGTTGTGCAAATCCAGTCATATTTATTCTGCTCATCCCCAATACAAACCTTGCTAATACAAATCTGTGCAATTTGATCACATAATGAACCTTCATAGCTACAACACACATTTGCAATAGATACTTTCTACCACAAAGGAAATGCTGAATATGCAAAGCTAAATATTGTAAGATTAAGTAAACCTGATCTTACCAATACATGTCCTGATATTGATGCTGCATTTGCCACAGAGGTAGTGAATACATTGTCTGCAGAGGCACCCACATTGGCTACTGTTACTGTGGTTACTTCTGTAAAACATGATCCAAATAATATTTGCTGTGATATCTTCCTTCAGAACTACCAAAATCCAAGAAGCAAATATGCACATGTTCTGTTAAATAAGACGTTTATAGAATGATATCTTCATACTGATTCTCTCCTGAGGGTACAATTTTCATTATCTATTGATTTCCAGTATTTATATAAATACTGACTTTAACAATGCTCTCAAGGATTATGTGCAAGATAGCCAAATGTTAAGGGAGAAAAGGAATCCGTGCCCGTTTATAATCTGACAATCTTATTTTAGCTGATTTTTGTAGAGTTCAATAATTATTGGGTAAGGTTTCAGTGTGTTGTATTTAATCTGTCTGATATCCCTCTTAGAAATTTTAATCAGTCAATATCTTTTGTTACTACATCTTAAAATACAAATGGGCAAAGCTACAGGAATTGTTTTGTTTTTTTTCATCAAAAACCACAACTAAATTTCTAACTCAGATGTAGATATCAAAAAAATCAACAGGACATGTTGCTCTGATGACACTATGACGGAGAAATGCTAGATTTCTGCCTGTCTGACCATCGAGCATTGATCACATCACTGTCAGAGATAAGAAACGGCACAACTAAAATAATGCAGAGGAGAAGGTGACACTTTCTGCGCTTTCTTGACGTCATGGATGATGCACACATGTATGTATATATCCTCATGATGGGATACTAGAGGTAAGTCAAGAACATCCAAACGTTTCCAATAAAGGAAAGACGCTTGAAAGTAGCACTCGCGTGATGGACCATTCACACAAGCGAACGATCACCACACGACCTAGTCACGACCCGAGCTCAATGACTGGCGGGTGGCGTGCTTGTACGCATGCGCGCCGACCTGCAAAGGCAGCTGCTGCAGCAGCCTCGTCCGCACTCGGCAGGGATTCGGCTCCCATCTCAATGTGTTCGGCATCTGCCGCCATTACGGTGACAGCCGTCACCTCCTCTTCCTCTTGTGGCTCCGCCTCCGAACCGGGCACCTGTCCTCGATGTTCGTGCTGCTGCTCGGATTCTTCTGCGGCTGCGGCAGCTGCCGCTGCTGCAGCCACTGCAGCAGCGGCAGCTACCGCCGCCGCTTCGGCTAAACCTAGTTGCTTCGCGGCCGAGTCCGAGTCCTCCATCCGAAGACACTTAGTGGGGGGGGAGTTATCCCGCGAAGTTAGCCGAATTCGTCCGAATGAGAGTTATTCTCCGATCTCGCCCGATCTCCTCTTTTAGAATCCCGAATAGGGAAACGAACGACCCAAAGCCGCTTCCGATCTTATCCGAGTATCGTCGATGACGGGTATTCCCGAACCCGTCCTGCAACCCGCTTCGGTCTCATCCGAGGGATCCCGATCGGAGCCGACTTCTCCCGATCTACCGAAAGTTCATGTTGAGGCGGCTAGAGCGGGATCGGAAGCTCGCGAAAGTACCCGAATAGGTGGCGGTTACTCGTCGAGCTACGGCCGTTGCCGAAGAGGCCCGAGTCTTTCCGGCTATGACCGAACCGAGATGGGAAGCAAAGGTCCGAAGAAGAGCGAAGGCTTCGTGAATCCTCCCTCTCGCAATCCGGACCCACCGGCGGTGTCCGAGGGGGCCCGAATATCTCCGAGGACGCGAACAATAAAGGCGATCGTGGAGTTCCGCTTGCGCGAAACACGCCGAACGGCAATCCGCCCATGGAGCCCTTAGGAGACTGCGCAAGGGTTGTCGGGATGCTGGAGGAATTGGGGAGGGGAGGGATTAGGGGTGGGGGTGAGAGAGTATGGCGGCCGTCAGGCAAGGTGAGCGGAGTTGCTTTGATTCAAAACATTGCTTCCAAGTTTTGAGAACCGAGTTAAGACGAGAAAAAGGAAGGCTTGGAGGAATCCTGGATGCCGTTGGCGATATCTTGTTGGCCATTAGGTTGCAGTCTAACTTGGTTGCAAATGGGTTACCTTCGCAACAGTGAAAAACAGTTGTCTAGCTGGCTTTCAAGCAAGTTTTGCTTCGTTAAAGAGAAGTTGCTTCCAAGTCAGTAAGATAAGATAACCTTTATTGTCTTTTTTTAGATGCTAATTAGTAATTATCCGTGCAATGATAAATAAAAACGAGTGATGGTAAGCTGATATTGCAGGATTGAACGGCGTCCCACCATATCGGTCTTTGTAGTTTCTATAGGTAAACTATTCGTAGACTAGGAAGCGACGAAGGGGAATTCCTCGTGGAGAATACAGTCATGTAACTGTTACAGTCATGTAACAGTCCAGGCACAGTCCAGGCACAGATTAGCTGCCTGGTTTATTTCTGTGGCATTGTGACGGTGTCATCTATGGAAATTACAGGTGGTTCTCACTTACTGACCATTTGGTGACTGTTGGAATTTACGATGGTGCTGAAAACTGACACTTACAACCCGTCTTCTAAATTGAGGCTGTTGCGGAGCCCCCCCCCCCCCCCCCCCGTTATGTGATTGCCTTATGACCTTCACTAGGCTTCTGACAAGCAAACAGTGGGAAAGCAGGCAGGAAGTTGAAAGACACAATCACATGGCATCACACATAAGGACCTGCTGCTTAGTGATGGAATTATCAGTCCCTGTAATCACTGACTCATGCCCTAAATAATTCAGCATTAGTTGAACTACAGTTAATAATATTCATATATGTTTTTAATTTATATCCTACATTTCATTCAGATTCCTGAGATGCCATATTTATGAAGATTTGTTTTCTTCCAGTATGACTACAATACTGTACAATGCTATACTATGCTAATGAGAGATTTCCTGTGATCTAACAAAGGTGTTATCTTTTATAGAAGGCAACCGAAAGGCAATAATACTGTCATCTGGAGAGAATATTTGTCAAATGCTTAAATATCCATTTTCTAGTGTATTGTGGGCTTTAATATTTTACAGAAATTCATTATTCCACTTTAGCCAAATCCCATCTTGTATATTGAAATCTAGTTTTAAGAAGAATATAGAGAACTTAGAGCAGGTTCAAAAAGGGTAACAAGGACAAACAGAACTAGAAACTACTAAATCTTAGGACAAGAATCAAAGTGCTGGGGAAGTCTGGCCTTGAGAAAAGATAGCTGAATGATGCTGTAGTTCTTTCAAATACCTGAAAAGATATGTACTATCATCAACACCTATTTTCTTTCATTCCAGAGGGCAGAATGCTGAATAATGGATTTTAGAAAAGGGCAGATTGCAAATGAATATTAGAGGAGGGAAAAAGAGTTTCTGAGAATAAGGGCACTTTGACAATAGTGGAGTTAGAAAGGCTTACCTTTTATTTTTATTCTAATAGACCAGGGGTGTCAAACTGGCGGCTTGCAGGCCAGATGCATCATGCACAGGCCACGGCCACCCCAGCTCCGCAAAAGCAAAAAAATGTCACAATATGTCACAATATGTGACGCGCTCGAGTTTGACACTGGTGTAATAGATGTTAGAAAGTTATTCTGCTTCCATTTGGATTCCTGTACCGAGGAAGGAATTGGAGATCATGACCTCTTCCAATCTATGGTCTTATGTTTCTCTAATTCAATATTGATTGGCTATCACTTTTAACTAATTGCTAATAAACTATCAGTGTTAATCACCAAAAAGTGAAATTTGCACCTTAAACTTGCACTTGGGCTGAAATTATTAGCAAACCAAAAAGAAATCATTTCATGGTTATTTCACTAGAGGGAAACAGAGGTACTCTATGAAATTGAATTACCGGTACATTTGAATAAAGCTCTCAAGAGTTGTAAATTACATAGTCTACCGTCCCTTCAGCTCTGAGCAGAAAGATACAGATGCTATATTATATTATGTATATATATATCTACAGGGAAAAATACTACACTGGATATACACTGTGAAAAATAGAGAAATTCCCTTCCCGTTAAAAAGAGTTATGTAAAAAAGAAGTCATGTAAAAACTTATATATGGGGGTCATGACATAAAGACAACATTGGTATCTTTCTGTTCTGGAGGGAAGGAAACTATATACCAATCTGATAGCACATCTAGATATCCCTGTAATCGCTGAATGAGAGGACTTGGATAACTCCTAAAGCTAATGCATTCTTTATAGTCATCAGTTTAATAGACTAGGGGTCGCCAACCCCCTGAGCTGTGGCCCATTACCAGGCTGTGGCCTATTTGGTATTGGGCCATGTGAGTGGCTGGCCAGAGCGCACACGTGAGGCCGCAAAGGTTGGGGACTGCTGTAATAGACTAAGTTCAGTTCCCAATACAGGTAGTCCTCGACTTACAACAGTTCATTTAGTGACTGTTCGAAGTTACAGCAGAACTGAAAAAAGTGACTTATGACCATTTTTCACACTTGTGATTACTGCAGCATCTCCATGATCAGATGCATGGCAGCTGACTCATATTTATGATGGTTGCAGTGTCTCAGGGTCATGTGATCACCTTTTGTGTCCTGCAAGCAAAGTCACTAGGGAAGCCAGACTCACTTAACAACCGTACTACTAATTTAACAACTGCAGTGATTCACTTAACAACTGTGGCAAGGTCAATTGTAAAATGGGACAAAACTCACTTAACAAATGTTTCACTGAGCAATATAAATTTTGGGCTCAATTGTAGTTGTAAGGCGAGGATTACCTGTAGATAGCGTGAACCCCCCCTAGAATAATATCTGGCCATCCATACCTGAAGACTCTCAATAAGCAATGAAACTGGTCACACATGTTTCTGGCTCTCCCTATAAAGCATGATAAGTCCAACGTGACTCCTAGCACAGATATAAACATGTTCTTAAAGAGGTTTAAATAAGCCTAAAATTCATAAGTTCCTATTATTTTGCATAGTTCATTTTTTCTTGTTTTTCTGATCAGAATTTTGGACTATATTTTAACTACTTAAATCTGAATAATTCATTCCAGAAATAAAGCTGCCTAATGGTTTCATAAGTTTATTTAATAATATATTTAGGATTAGACCTCTAAACCAAAAACCTGCAGAAAATTCTGTTAAGTAATTTTGAATTAAGATATTACGGTATCAAAGGGTGATGGCGTACTGTAGCATTGAAACAAGTTGTGCCATGTTCTGAATTATATAGCTGATTATTGTGGGACAATATTTCCTTCTCAAAATAACTAAAAGAATTTCTGCACACTAGTTTTTGTAATTTTTTTCACCTTAAAGGTTTATCTTTTGGAAATAATTTTATTTTTGTCTTGTGTACAGGAAGATCATCATCTGTTGTATCCTTTTTCTTTTATCCCGAAAACCAAATAAATTTTAATTAATCATACCAATGATTTTCAAATGTGCTTCAGATAATGTTGGTATCTTCTTAGAAGTTATGATAGTTCCTTTTAGGAAAATGAATAATGATGGATACGTTTCTGACATATAAATGAGGGAGACTGTTAGGTATATCTTGTAGTATCTTCTGTTCATCTGATCTTCCCCAAGTAGCCTTGGGATACCACCTACTATAATCCACATGAATTCCATGATGGTCTTGTTGATGTGATCACTTCCAGAAACTGACAAATGTGGAAAAATGTTGCTATATGTCATTATCCTCTAATAAGTTTTATTTCCAAAGTCTGAATGTTTAAGGAGATGGTATGCAAATTGACCATATTATTATTGATGTAGGCATTAAGATATGATTGACCTGTATACTGAGAAACCAAGAAATGAAGTATATAGACTAATAATATTTAAAGGAAGCAACTGCAAGACACAAGTAATGCAATTTGCAGAAAAAATCCCTCCAAAAGCATTTGAGACATAATCTTTAGCTATTTCTTCTACTGTAATCTTATTTCCATTTTCATTCCTCATCCATTCTGTAAACTGGAATACATCTATCAGTAAGTTTTAAAATCTCCAATTGAAAAGGGATTATGCTTTAAGTAAAATAGAAGCAAAATTAATATCTACATAACAAACAATAATGCACAAAATCCTTTCGAATCTAAGTGGGTGTGGTTGGCTTCATTTTCCCCAAGAAAAGTTTGGCTTTCAGCAATTTACATGTTCTAGCAAGAGTACTGCAAATATTTCTTCAGTGCAAAACTATCACAAATGTAAGAAAAACCATACCAATTTAACTTGCTGTTTTTAAAAGGCTGCTTGCCAGATTTAGCATTCTACTGTAGATTTATAAAATTAAA